ATATTACAACTAGGTTTCCAGTTACTTTAAATCAGTCTTTGCCTTACTTTTTGAATTTGTGAATTAGGGAAAGTCTCTAATTGTTCTCCTGCTTCTCTTCCCTTTTGTTGGTGAAGAGTTCTGATTAGGGGACTGTGGCCTTGATTTGTCTCCCTAGCTAGTCAAGCTAGAATTAAACTGTGTTGCCAGCCCAATGAATGGCTCATGGTTCAAATCCACCCTTTGCTCAGAGAAAGAAAGACACATTCTCTGCCCATGTGTTTACAACCTCTGAAAACCTGCCAGAGGGCCAGCTATGAGCTGTTTCCTGCTTGAGGGCACATAACAACAGTCTATCTAGGTTATGGAGCCGGAAGTGTTCCAGATTTGTCCATAAAGTGTACTGAGAGAGGTATTTGCAAGGGTACCCAGCGAGAGACAGAGATCTAGTAAGAATTGACGCCCTCAACAGTCCAGGGCCTGATTGCAGGCTAGACTTGGCACACTCCCTGCTTCCAGAGGGATTTCTTAATGTAACTTAATACAAAATGGTGTTTGCCTGACTTCAGGCTGAGTTGAGACAGGACTAAGGGTATACTACCAGCACACAGTGGGTGGTAGTGGCGGGAGAAAGTAATTCCCTTGATCCTTAAGAAAGTAGGAGGAAAGAGTGGGAGATTTCCAGTCACCAGCCAGCTGCTGGTGTGGATACCACTTTAGTCCATGTTCTTGAGCCAACTAGAAAGTGGCTGCACTGCAGTATTTACACTTCTGCGCTCTGCGTATCTCCTTATTGGATGTTTTCATTCATTTTCTTTTCTCAGGTAGTGTTTGAACTCTATCTTTTTAATCTCAGACTTCCAGAATTTGTTTATTTTTCTGGCATCTCAGTAGAAGTATGTTTCAACTGCTGTCTGCTTAGTCTATTTTACTCAGAAGTCCTTGAAAATATTTCTTATTTTGTTAAAGTCTAACTCACCCTTCCTACATGTTTCTATAGGTTCCTTTATCCTAAAGTCATTGTTCTTATTCTGTGCAATTTGCCTCTTCTGTTTTCTAACCTTTAAAACTCCTTTTGAACAGGGATAACGTTCTTTTGTTTTTTCGTTTACTAACTTTTTTTCATAATATGCTTATATTGAGTGCATGTTTGTGTACTGTGCTTAGGAAACGTAACATGTGAGGGAAATGGTGCGGTTTGCAAAAGAAATGTATAACTTAACGGTGTTTGTGTAGGAATACAATATATCCTGCCTTTTGATAGACTAAACAGTCCAGAGGTTTTTTAATAAATCAGTTGAAACTACATTTTTCTTTTTACTTTTTCTAACCTGTGTTTTGAAGTGTTTTTGAATGCCATACTCTGCATTTCTGTTTGATCCTATAAATGGTAAAGCTGTAATAATCTTTTTTTTTTATTCAAACCATGTATCTTTTTATTAGTAGTGTGATTCCTTACAGGAGATTTTTTTAAAAAGTGAAAAAAAAAATTAAGATCAACATTGCAAATACCTTTTTTTGAAAAAAATTATTTATTATAATCTTTTATCAGGGGTTGTTGTTGTTAAGTGCTATTGAGTACAACTGTTACCGACCCTAGGACCAACAGATTTTAACCGTGTCCTTTCCTACTCCATCCTCATGATTTCTGACATATTCAGCCTCTGTGTCAATCCATCTTGTGAAGGGCAGCTCTCCACTTTTCCAAAGATGTCCCTTTCTTAGGAACAGTCTCTCCTAATAGCATGCCTAAATATGTGAGATGAAATTTTGTCACCTTTGCCTCCAAGGAGCATTTGTCAGGGTTGTTCCTTTAAAATAACAGCCTCGAGGATTCTAGCCTTAGTATCATTAACTATGTTTACTTACTCTCTTGCCTTGATTTCATTTAACAATATACTTAGAATATGGTACTCAGGGGTGGCAGCTTTCCTAATTGGAGAGACTGAATAAATTATTAGACTGATACTTTCCTAAAAGATACAAAATGACCATGGAGCTGGAGTTACTGGTATTATGTTTTAACAGTTCTCTGATTGTTTTGATATTAAAATGGTACATGTGTTTGAGTTTTATTGTAGGATTTAATGAATAATTAAATAGTTTTAGTCATAAGAGACACATTTTTGCACTTTTGGGGATGTTGACATGAAACTATTAGTAAAGTTCATATTGAGTTGATAGCTGTGAAACGTTAGATTGGGAATATTGCTGTATTAATGGATTTCAGAACACTCAGTTAAGATTAATTGTCCAACTCTAGAATTTACCCTTGCCTTGTCCTATTATCTTTTTGAGTTTTAATGTGAAATTTTGTTTTTTGAAACATGTTATTAGCATTTAAGTTTAAAAGTCAGTGGTGTTAAATATTTGGAAGCAGGAGTGGAATCCACTTCCTGTTTGCCTCTGGAAACTCTATGAACTTTGATAAATGATGGTAGTTGTAGAGGGGCATCAGGCTAAAGCAATCAACAACAACAGTGTTAAGTAAAACTTTAGGACCCACATAGGGAGGGAAGGGGTTGAAGGGGCTCAGGGCTGAGAGCACGCTGATGAAACAGAGGAAATATAGCGGGAGCTAGCTGAGATCCTCGATGTGGACATGGCCTGTCTTCAAGTATGTGCTGATCCATATTCACTTGGCACTGCCTTCTGCTGCCCCAGCTGCGTAGAGCAGGGAGATAGTGCGTGGTTATAAGTGGGCCAGGTACCATGCTGACATCCACGACAAGGTTTCTGTGGAGATCCAAAGTGCCTGCAGCAGCGGGTGGATCTTGCATCAGAGCCAGAACAGGAAGATCCCCAGGTACAGCTACTCTATGGGCGTGCCCAGCATTCCATCTCTACAGAGAAGATCAAGACCAAGTACCAGGACGATGAGGTCAGCAGGGTAGATGATGGCTACTGATGAGGGCCTTGATCTTGCCATCACACAACCATGCAAGCACTAGTTGTGTTGGCCCTGGCTGCCCTCCTGGGGGACCAGGCCAACCTTGCTGATCTGAAGCACCCTGCTGTTCTTAATGTGCTCCAGAGAAAAAGCAGTCTGAGCCCAGGTTCACCCGCAGGAATTAAAAGTGTGGTCACTTCTGCCTGGGAAAACACCCCAAAACAAACAAACAAAAAATCCCAAAACCCACAACACCAACTTTACTGTTGTACTAAATGCTTTCTATTTCATTTATGTATCCAGCTTTGTAAATTTAGAGTTAGGAAGTATAGTATTTCTCTATTTTTTAAGGCCAAGACTAGAGTTACGAAATAAACCAAAGAAATCATAGGAAGAGTTATTCTGAAGGGAAGAGGTTTTATTTATTTTTCTGAAGTTGGAAATATTTTGGCCCTGTTGTTGTTGTTACGTGCCGTCGAGTCGTTTGCGACTCATAGCAACCCTATGTACAACAGCCCTAAACCCTGCTCTATCCTGTGCCAGTCGCATTGCCTCTGACACACCCATCCCGATTACCCCAATCACTGAATCAGTCCACCTCATAGAGGGTCTTCCCCTCCTGCGCTGTCCCTCTACTTTACCCAGCATGATGTCCCTCTCTAACGACCTGTCTCGTCTTAAAACATGTCTGAAGTATGTCAGATGAAACCCAGAATCCTTGCCTCTAAGGAGTAGCCTGGTTTAACCCTCTCCAGGATGAATCTGTTTGTTTTCTTGGCAGTCCATGGTGCATTCAATATTCTTCTCCAGCACCACAGCTCAAAGGCGTCAATTCTCCTTCTATCCTCCCTAGTCATTGTCCAACTCTCTGATGCATAACAAGTGATTGCAAAAACCATGACCTGTATCAGGCACACCTTAGTCTCCAGAGAGACACCGTTGCTCTTGAGTACTTTAGAGAGGTCCCTAACCGCAGACTTTCCCATGGCAGTACGTTTTTTGATTTCCTGGCTGCTGGTGCCAAGAGTGTTGACTGTGGAGCCGAGCAAACTAAAGCTGTGAACAATCTCAATCTCTTCGCCATCCATCCTGATGCTACCGATTGGTCCAGTGGTGAGAATCGTTGTCTTCTTGACATTGAGCCTCAGTCCATACTAAAGGCTGCAGTCCTTCACCCTCTGCAGTAAGTGCATGAGGTCCTCCTCATTTTCAGCGAGCAGGGTTGTGTCATCTGCATAACGCAGATTGTTGATAGATCATCCACCAATCCTAATGCCACGCTTCTCCTCATAGAGCCCAGCCTCTCGGATGATCTGCTCTGCATACAGGTTGAAAAGGTATGGAGATAGGACACATCCCTGGCGTACACCCTTCCCAATTTTGAACCAGGCAGTGTTGCCCTGCTCTGTTCTGATGACTGCCTCTTGGTCCAAGTATAGGTTTCGCATTAGCACGATTAAATGTTCTGGGATTCCCATTCTTCTCAGAGTCAGCCACAGTTTGTTATGATCCACACAGTCAAATGCCTTTGCATAATCAATGAAACACGATAGACATTCTTCTGGTATTCTCTGCTTTCAGCTAAGATCCATCTAACATCAGCTACAATATCCCTAGTACCACGACCTCTTCTAAACCCAACCTGGACTCTGGCAGTTCTCTACTGATGTACTGTTCCAGTCATTTTTGGATAATCTTCAGTAGAGTCTTGCTTGCATGTGAAATCAATGCGATTGTTCTGTAGTTTCCACACTCAGTTGGGTCACCCTTCTTTGGGATGGGAACAAATATAGATCTCTTCCAGTCTGTTGGCCAAGTGGTTGTTCTCCAGATTTCTTGGCACAACTTGGTGAGCACATCCAGGGCAGCATCTGTTAGCTGAAATATGTCAATTGGTATACCATCTATTCCTGGGGCCTTATTTTTTGCTATTTCCTTCAAAGCAGCTTGAACTTCTTTCTCTATTATCTTGAGTGAGAAAACTTAAACTGTGTAAATAGTGAAAGTCTGGGGGGGAAATAGTGGAGGTTTTTTAAAAAAAAAATATTTCAGTATCTGTCTTAGAAGAATTAGAAGGCAGTTGAATATGTAGCAGAAGTTCTATATGCATATATCTTTATGGTTTTGTTTTTCAGGCATTTAAGAAATATTTACTCCTTCATGAATTGAGCTTCACTTTTGAGTCATGGATGACAAGGCTTCTGTTGGAAAAATCAGTGTCTCCTCAGATTCAGTATCTACCCTTAATAGTGAAGATTTTGTCTTGGTTTCCAGGCAAGGAGATGAGACGCCATCTACAAATAATGGAAGTGATGATGAAAAAACAGGGCTCAAGGTAAGACTCCATAGCTGGTTTGTGTTAATGTGTAGCTTCGCTGAGGCCTTGCCAGAGTTTGACCTTAGCGGGAAAGAAAACGGAAAGGAACCAAATAACATATTCCACGAGTTTAAATTGTAAGGATCTACTTCTGTTATTTTTTTTTTATGCTATGTGATGCTCACCATCTCTGAGCAGTAAATTTTGTATTATAGTACAGAGTGATATCTCTAGATTCTCATGTTATGTTTCATTGTGTTTGGTGCAGATTGTAAACCTTAAATCATACCTTGTAACCTAAACTCCCATGAAACAGAGAAAAGTCATGAAATTGGAAGAAAAAAGTGATTGCTTTAGATGTTCCATAATGAAGATCTGCAGCGGCAGTTGGCTGCAATTTCTAGATAAATGAATCTGCTTCAGGACCATTGTAAACAGAAAGTTAAATTTATGGAGATGGTGCTGCAGCTATGCCCGTAGTCATGAAGATCTTATAATGTCTGTGAAATACCTTTTAATCTCATGGTGAAAATGCAGCTTTTCCACAGGATTGGCATGCTTGATCCTCACCCCTGCTTCTCTCATGTTTAAATGTCAACTATACTTTTTTAATGCTAAAGAGTTTTAGTTATACTTAGTCATAGTGACAAATTTATGTTTTATTAAGAATTTTCAATTTTTCTTTTAAATCTTCCAAAACTACTGATCACAGTATAAACATTTGTCATTCTTTTAATATTGTTCTCTTTTCCACCAAATCAAAGGTGCTTATTTTGAGACTAGTAGAAGCATAGGTAGGACAGGGTTCAGATCTGCTGTTCATAGGGTCACTGTTGGCCACACCTAATGTTAGAGACATAACAGATAATATATAAGGCTACTTATCAAAAGATTGATGTTTCAAAGCCACTAAACACTCTCTGGGAAAAGATGAGACAGATCTGTTCCCATTAAGATTTACAACCTGAGAAATCTGATAGACGTTCCATGACTCGGAATCCTCATGACAGCGTTGAATTTTGACTTTGTTTTTTCGTTTTGACAAGTTGTATGTAGTGTAAAGAAAAGTTGTAGATCAGCAGTTTTAGCAATATTAAAACAGAATTTTATATATCAAACTTTTGACCATATCTTTGTGTTTCCTTAGCTGAATAGATAGCTGTAACGTCATTACAGGTGTGAAAGAGATGGATTAAGTTCCTGTGTACAGGGCTGGCGTTAGCTCACTTGTTGCCTCAACAAGTGTCATAATAATCCTGCGTACATCTAATTGTGTTTGCTTTTCCTTTTCTCTCAAGGTGCAAATGGCTTTTTAAAAAATTTATTTTCTCTATAAAAATAATATATGTTAATATAAAATCAGGCAATAAGAAATATAAGTTAAGCTTAGCCATAATCTATCTTACCATTTAGTATAAATATTTTTAAAGGTCTTTTTTTTTAAGTTGACCTTTCAAGATAAATTCATTCTTCCCAACCGCTCCTCTTTTAAAATAATGTTGATGCCATATGCTGCCGAGTCAAAACCAGCTCAAAGCTGACCCTCCAGTAAATTTCAAAGGCAGTGAATCATACAGGAGGAGATGGCCCATTTTTCTCCTGAAAAGTGACTGGTAAATTTTAACCAGCTGCTTTTGAGTTTGTTGCATATGCCACTAGAGCTTCCCTTAAAATGATATTAGTAATTCCTAGGGATAATTCTTTAGGGAGCTCTGGTGGGCTAGTGGTAAGAAGTTGTGCTGCAGTCCTGAAAGCAGTTTTAATCTGCCACCTGGTCATGGAAGAAGGATGGACAGTCTCCTCCCTTGTGATTTTACTGCATCTGAAAACCCACTGGAGGGTCAGTTATGAGTGGGTTCCAACTTGATGGCACACAACAACAACAGTTGTTTTAGGAATTTAGGTCCTTTATTCATATAGTAAAGTAAGCAATAGATGATAGAAACAGCTACAATTTATAAAATGAAGTAAAAAACCCTACAAAACACAGCAGTTTATCAGAATCAACAGAACAAGTAAAACATAGGAGCAGATTTGAGATTAGTATCAATATCTTCCAATATCAAAGTTGAGTTTTTGGGTTCTTTTGCTCCTTGGTTTCTGACAAAATTGAGGTTTAAATAGGTGTTATTTACTATATTAGCATTTATGCTGGGTAAAACAACCTCATTTGAGCCATTTTCATTTATGTTATCACTGAATATGGAACAAGTAATGAGAATTGCAGATTATCAGCAATTAATTTGCCTTTCATTTTCTAATTCTTTAAAGATTTCTCAAACACAAAATGACAGTTCCTAGATATGCTTTCTGAAGACATACAGTAAATCTCCCTGAAAAAGGATCCCAAACTGCCTAAACTGGATTTGTGTAACTGGCAAAACATCTGGGTGCTAAATTTGTATTGTGTGGTAAAGGCAGACAGACTATAGAGAAAAGATAAGACCTGGAAATGACTCTATGTTGGGTTGGAACATTTTGTCATTTGGCTCGACACAAGTTTTGTCCTCAAGGAAATAACCTTTCAGGCCATTCTCCCGTGTCAGTTACTACCTTTTCTTATATATTTATGAAGGACAAATATTCTTCCAGTTGTACTTTTTTAATGTGAATATTAGGTATGTGCTTAGATTACTGTGGAACATGAAAATTGTAAGAATTAGCTTATTAAGTCATTGTTTCTTTTTTCAAGCCCCAGCTGAGTAGATGGACCAGACTTTATTTAGAAATAACCAATAGTAGAGTGAGGGGGGTTACTAACACTGAATGTGTAAAATATTGGCAGATAATGCTTTGAGGATTAAGTGGATAATCGCTATAAAAATCATGTGATAATTTGCCTGGAAATATATACATATTTTATATATATATGTATGTATTTATATATAATTTTATATATTATATATAAAAAAATAGTCGTACAGTAGCCAGACTGTTACTATTTCACTGAACCCCAGAGATTCCTTGATAGCATAACATAAAATATATTGACCTGCTAACCAAAAGACTGGGTTTGAATCTACCAGCTATTTCACAGGAGAAAGATGGGCATGCTCTTGCCGTAAAGATATACATACAGGCTTTGAAACCCAATGGAGTTTCATGAGTCAGAATTGACTCGGTGACACTGAGTTTTGGTTTTGGTTTTTTGAACTGTCAGTAACAACCCTGTAAGGTTAATGTCCTCTTATAAATGAGACAGATAGGTCCACAATCTTTTGAAGAGTTAGTGCCAGAACAGTATGTCAGACTCTGATCTGTCTTACAATGGAACACAAGTAGAACTACGTAGATAACACACTCTATGACCCCAGGAGATCATGCTCAGATAGCCTGTGATGTGAATGATGACCTCTGTAGTTTTGCCCTGTGCCAGCTGTCCGCCTCAATGTTTTTTTGTTTTTTTTTACTACTACTCTCATTTGAAACAAGTTTCCCTTCTTAGAAACATTTATTTCTGTATTTATACTTGTTGCTAAATTAAGAGCTTTTTGTTCATTGTTTTTCTTTTTCAATTCAGAACTATTTTCAAAAAACTTCCCCCCTTTTTTTAATGTAGATTACATTTGAACAAACTAAAATCTAAGTGTGATCATAAGTTGTACAATTCCTACAGTTGAGTTTTCCATTTCACATTCATATTTGTGTTAAATCAAGTTGAAAGTAGTTGCTTGGAGGGCTAAAAGGAAAAATGCCTGGTAATACCAAAGTTATTACCAAAAACAGAAGCCTAGATAAACTTGCTTTGAGGGACACATAGAATTTGTCCTTTTCAGATCACATTTTTTGTAGCAATAAGTGACATTAATGATGTTAAAAGTTACATTATTTGTATGATTCTGTGAATTTTGATAAATGTAAATTCTCTCGTAACTACCACCACAATTCAAGATACAAGATATTGTAATTGCTCCAAAAAAGTCTAAATAATTCCTTCTCTTCTTCCTCTCCGCAATCCCCTCTGCCCCCCGTAACCACTAGGAACCCCCAACATGATTTGACACAGTGGCTTCAGCAACGGACTCAAGTGTATCATAGATGGTAAGGATGGCCCAGGATAGGACAAGATTCAGATCTGTTGTTCATAGGGTCTCTCTGAGTCATACTCTACTTGAGAGTACCTAACAACAGTTAACTACTGATCATTATTAGATAACTTTCTGTAGTTTTGCTTCTCCCAGAATGCCACATACATAGAGTAATGAAGTAAAGACTGTGGTATCTGGTCTTGCTTCTTTTACTTGGGATATTTTTATCCATTATCCAGACTCATTCACATTATTGCATATGAGTAGGTTGTACCCTCTTATAGCTGAATTGTAGTCTAGTGTATAGGCATATTACAAATTATTTATTCTGTCACCAGTTAATGAATACTTGGTTTGTATTTAGTTTTGGGTGATTATGAATGCTGTTAAGAGCATTCACAAACAGTCTATATGAAGAGAGATTTATTTATTTTTGCTACTTTCAAAAATACCTACAGGTGAGTCAGATGATTAGTGTATATTCCTATAGTGTAAATTCCTAAGAAATTATTTGAAATGACATACCATTTTAATTCCTAACAATGATTTATTACGGTTGCAATTGGTCCACATTATTCTTACATTTGGTATTGTTAGGGTTGGTTTTTGTTGCGTTGAGTTTTGTTTGGTTTTTTTTTCCCTTCATGTCAGGCATTCATAAAAAATAAAAGTATCTCACTGTGATTTCCATTTTCTCTACTGACTAATGATGTTACTTTATGTACGTATGCCATCTGTGTTTGTTTATTTTGATAAAAGATCTAGTCAAATCTTCTGCCTATTTTTAAAAATAGATTTTTATATTATTGAGTAGTGATGGCTCTCTTTGTATTTTGGATACAAGTCCTTTATCAAACACATGATTTTCATATGTATGTTCCAGTTTTATGGCTTGATATTTACGATCTTAAAAGTGCATTTTGAAGAAAAGAATTTTTAAATTTTGATAAATTTCATTTTATCAGTTTTATGTGATTCATGGGTTTGATT